CCCATCCTCTTCTCTCACTGAGATTTTTCTCATTTTATTTTTCTCATCTATTTTGTGGCATGCAAAAGAGGAAACACAGGTAGTGTGAGATGTCAGGGTTAAAGTATTGACATAAGTAAAGGTTGTCATTAAATGGGTAGTGAAGATGTTTTGCTTCTGTGTGGGCAAACAGTGAACTTCCCTGGAATTGCAGAGAACACATTTTTTGTGGGGAGATATTCAGAGGTTTCTTTTTAACTGTCCTTATGCATGGGTAGTTTTGTGTATTTTGGAGGGTGTGTTAATGTGTAGCATAGGTTCTAAGGGTCAGCTTAGCCATTTCATTAGCTCAGTCTGTGCCTTCAGGCACTCCACAAGGCACTTGATGCCCTTGAAACTTAGAGCTGTGTACACCCTGGAAGAAATCCGTGTATGTTTAGTGTCAAATTCTAATGAGGCCCCATATGGAAAATTGCTGAGACACTGTGTGGAGAAAAGGGGGCAGGAAATACATGTCTCTCTATTTTATGATCATGGAAAACTCATTTTGCAGGCTTCCTGAGGAGAAGCTGGCTGAGGAGGGACAACAGTGATTTTATGCATAAAAGTACACACCATTGAGTTGGATTCTAAACGTCACAAAATGGTGAAATCTCTTCCCTGAGTTAGTGATAAAGCAAACATGAAGTCTAGTCTCTGCAGCTCTAACGGCAGCAACTTCTTATAAATCACACTTTTTACTTCCAAAAACCAGCCTGTAGAGAGATAATTTCAGGTATCTCTATTGTCATTCAGAGCTGTAAAAATTGAAAACAGCTAAAGAAAAGATTAAGCATTGTAGAATAAGCATCCTGCTTTTCAGTTATCTTTACTTTTCACTGGGTACTTATTTTTAGAGCCATGGTGCATCTTTGAAAAGATGATAGAAGAATGCTAGAAATAAAATTTGGTCTTGGCATGAGGGACATGATTTTCAAAAGCATGTAAGGTCCCAAAAGGCAGTTGGACACCTGGGCCAGATTTATACAGTCAGATTCTTATGGCATGTTTAAGGACAGAAAGTTGTGTATCTAAACTTATATTATAGCTGGTGAGAGCTGGTAACTGCTGAAAATACCATGAGTTTTCATGTGCAGCTTTAGAAGTCTAGATATGCATCACAGAAATCTGATCCAAAGTACCTCAGATCGTGACACATTCTGGAAATGGGGGTTTTCAATTTCCTTTAGAGAAAACTGCATCTCTGGCTGTGTCTTCTTCTGAGAAGCTGAGTTTCACAAGTGTTCACTAAGTTGGGCTGCAGGAAAGTATAAGGGTTATGTTCAAGAGTGCAAGGCATGGGCAGGTATGATGAACTTGCTTTAAATCTGGAAGTCCGTTTAACCTGGGAGGAGAATCCAGGTTTCTCTGCTCCTAATCCTGGTTCTGAGCACCCAACAATCATGCACAAAGCTCTAGTCCAGTGCATGTAATGTGGGGGAACCAGAAGGTGAAACTTGGCAGATAATCCAGATGAGTAAGAGCTGCAAGGGCCACAGTGGAGAAAGCTGCTTAATCTGATGTCAGAGCATCAAGGGAGCCTTGATTCAAGGCATAAACCCATGAGAAATTGCAAAAACCAAATCCTGTATGAAGATTTATTTAGAAAAACCACAAGCTGGGGAGTCACTGTTACATAGCGTGGTAATTCCTTTCCTCTTGAGTGATATGCACCACTCTGCACATGCAATTACTTTTGTTTCAGAAATAACATCTTTGAATTATACATGTCCACGTATGGTCCGTAGTGCACACAATTCACATTTATGTTAGGACACACACAAAATTGAGCTTTTCCATGAAAAAACTGTATAAAAAACAAGCCAAACTGAAGCTGTCAACACGAGAAGCAATGTGCAAAAATACAGTTATTCTTGAATGTTTGCTTAAGAAAAAAGGACTCTTCTGTCCATGTTCCCCATTCAGCATTGAGTATGCCAGATGTTGCTTGATAGTAGAATTTAAAATAACTATTCACATCCTGTGCCCCTTCATGTTAGTTGCAGAGATTTTTAACCAGCTAAATAATTCTGTATTAATATGAAAATCTGTTGTCAGGCATCACCATCATGTGCTGCTGTTGTATCCAACAGATCTTTATACTGTTGCAGGGTTTGATTTGTGATGCTTAGGGCTAGGTGACAACCATGCCCCTGTGTGGAGCGTGCAGAAGAGGCAGGACAAAGATGTCCTTGGTCACTGAGCCCTGTGGTAGGAGCTGGCAGCAGCTGCCTGGAGAAAATGGCCAGGGGATTAGAGGTTCTCCTTGCATGTGCTGGAAGGAGCCTCTAAGGTCCCTGCCATGGGGTGCACAGCTCCAGGCACTGACTGCTAGTGTGGTGGGGCTGGTGCTTGACATTATACTCTTGAGTGCCTGAGGAATCCTCCCTTCAGAGGAAATGTCTGTGCAAAGAGTGTGGCAGACGAAGGGACAGAGCCCACAGGGCCTTCCCCAGCCAGGTACCTTGGTCCATGGTGCAAACAATAGTTGATGTGAATGGCCCCTGACTATATAACCACTTGTGTGGCCCTGAGCAAAGCTGTACAGGGTGACATGCTGAAGACATCATGAAGCAGCCAGAACAATCCATCCTTGTAAAACTGCTGCATGCAAATACCAACACTTTAAATGGCAATTAAGACTAGAAATGGATTGCACTTGTTCCCCTTAAACATGTATGTACTGCCCTTTCAAAAAAAGTAACCAATAAAATCTTCAAAATATATTAAAAAAAAAAAGATTGGTAGTTTGAATTCCCTTAGTTGTATTAAAGGAAAAGAAGAAAACAGGGGCTGTGTGTGATTCTAATCACTGAAGTTTATCAGCAATCACAGTCTTCTGGTTCTGGACATGAGGATTCTTTCTACTCCTGAGGCTTGATGCTGCAAAGCCCAGCATACCCCTGGTAGCCCATATGTTTTTTTTAAGCACTGTTTGTTTAAGCCCATACAGAATTATGACTGTGTTACAGAGGTTTATTTTTTTATAGGTATCAACATTTTTCACAGCAAATCCTGCATGGATCCGGGGGAAATCTCAGCAAGATTCCCCTGGGTGTTGTGTTTGTTTTTTTTAACTTGTAAATCAAAGATTTTGGCCTTATTTTGAGGAAGGGAAATGAGGTGGAAATTGCAAAGACTGGGAGATCTCCAGGGAAGTAAACTGCAGATTCTGCACTTCAGATCCCAGCTTAGCAGACCACTTCAGCAAACTATTTTAAGTGGGATGTAAGTGTACATTATTTGGTTTGGACCCCAGTATGAAGACTGGTGTCCAACAGGAAGCCTGTTGCTTTGGACCTACTCATTTCCATTATAAAAGGCACAGAGGGGCGTTCATCCTGTTAGTTTGCACTCCAGCTCTGGTCACAAAAGCATCACTCAGGAAAGTGTGTCAAATGTACCAGCTGGTACGTGACTTCCAGTGTTGTCCTATCACCTGGGTGAAGGAAGCAGTGCTTCATCCTTGGTGTCCTGAAGAGCTGGAGATGCTCCTGTTCCCTGGGTGGCAGCGCTTGCCCTGGGTTCATTTCTGCAGCTTTCTGTGAGCATTGGCATGTGTGACTCACCTTCCCCTGGTCTGCCCTGGCTCTCACAGCATGCCTAGTGTAACCTCAGTGACCCTCTGGCTCTTAGTCAGAGACAACACTTGGCAGTGATAAAACAGTGGTAGAGAATAGCTTTACACTGTAAAATACACAAAACAAAACAACAGACTGAATTCTTACTAAAATTTTGATGTAGTTGAGCGTTGGAGTTAGCAGCTGCTTCATGGGTGTTTTCCACTGAGTTAAGATTCTCTCTAGCATCTGAGTTAAGGCCTGGCTTTAGCAAAGTATTTGTGCATGTGCTTACATCTGCCCTTACTCAGCTAAGCACTAATATGGACACCTAAGTGCCTTGTGATACAGGGACATACCTGAACTGGAGCTTATAAAGTCATGTAGTTGTCACAACTACCTTTTTAATGTTGTGGGGTTTTGGTGTCTTTTTTTTTTTTTCCCTGGTGGCACAGCTGCTCTCCTGGATTAACTATTTAATTAACCTTTACCTAAAAGGTCCTGAGAACAGTTCTATAATACTAACAAATGTACATAAATACCAGAAATAAAAAAGTCAAACACATGGCTCAAAGCAAAACAAATATTGCTCAGAATACTTGTTTAGGCTAGGATTAATAGCTGTAAACTGTGCATTCTAGTAGCAAAAAAAAATTTGTTGGCCTAGAAAAAAAACCAAAGCCCGAAGTCTATGGGATTGGCAGCACTAATATTACTTTACAACAAGGAGTAAGAATAACAAATTGTAACATTGCAAAATGATTCACCTAACCTAAGTTTATGTAAACAAGTAGGATTTGACAATATTTGTGTCTAGGCGTGATCCTGCACTTGGACCTGGATGGGTGGAGACCCAAGAAGGTAGAAGGGGGCTGCTACCATGTGGCTCCAGCTGCCCAGATCCTTCTGCAGGAGAGAGGCTCAAGGGTGGTATCCTGCAAACCTGTACTGGCCTTACTAGTTCTACTCCTAGGAGCATCTGTTGCAGGATTCAGTTCAGC